TCGAAACCGACGGTTGAACTATCGTGCGGGCGAGGAGTGAGTGCAATAGGTGAATATAATTTGCACGCGAGTCACCACCCCTGTGCCATATTGTTCAAGCGTACATGGCGGACCTCATCGAAACCGAAGGTCAAAAATTCCTGGACTGTATATGTGCAGAATTAGTTGATCATGATTTAGGAGGTCACAGGTCGCTCTGCATGCCTTCTACGTTTGGTGATTGCTTCATATGAACTTAAACGGAGGTCCAAATCTCTGTTGAGGTTCCTCGAAGTTGGATCGGTACGCTGTGTGCTGCAGGCGTAGACGGGTTGCCTGTCAGCCACTACGCCCGAGACCGCCTCTGCTAAACTTGACACCGAGGGGAGAGATTCGGCGGACGCTGTGCAAGTCTGCCATCACTGGCAACTAATTCAAACGCAGGTCAGCGTTTTGCGCCCACCCACTATGATTTAGGACGGTCGTACTTTCAAGGGTTTTGTATCGTTTTGTGTCTGTAATGGTATTAGACTGTGTTCATGAAAGCCTTCTGTAAACGGATAACACCGTTCTGGTAACTATAATCAGTTAAAAAAGGAGAGTTATTTATTGGAATATTGTCATTCCGCACGATACAATTAGAATCGGCTTTAAACTGTAAGTCCCCCAACCCGAAGCTGCTTAACAGTGCGCCGGCGAGGTAGTTGGTTGTTTTCAAACTTGGAAATCCTCTTTTTTTACATTTTTAGGATATTGCTGTCACTTCTGACTACGGTTATATTATGGACCACAGGAAGCGTTCTGTTGTACCATTCTGACAAAGGCCACGTCTCAGTTTTGTTTAAGCAGATTTCCTTTGAAATTTGAGAGTCGATATCGTATGAACAACAATTTGTGGATTTTAACTGTGTGACTGTTTGCCTGTATGGAGGAGCTCTTGTATACTTGTCGATGTAGAATAATATAGAAACACAAAGGCTTTAAGAAGACGCTTTGGCCGCTTCTTTCAACTGTATCACTTAACCATTAGATTTTTTACAACA